TCGTTCTATCCACAACGCTGGCCTCCATAGTCTCAGTTCCCAATCTGCCTTCGTGGCGTAACACAATACAACTGCCTGCTTCCTGGGAAATGGCTCTCCCCTCGCTGCGTTGTTTGCGTTGCACCGCGGAAGCCACCACAGAATTGACCAAGATGGTTTTGGTGACGTTGGCGCGTCGGCGCTCGCGTCGGCGCAGGTGCACACACCGCGACTTCGCACATTGGACATTAGCTGCAACGATATCAAGACGAGTGGCATCATGGCGCTGAGTGGCCTCTTGCCGCATCTGCCACGACTGGCAACGCGGCGCTTGTGCAGCAACTCACTGGGCGCAACAGGGCTCATGTTTCTGTTGCGGGCGTGGACGTATGTGGAACTCAACACGACGACGTTGATCGACGCCCGTGGTACCATCGACTCCGACGACGATTCTCGGGTCGTCGACGCGCTCCTTGCGGATCTGCCGCGTCGCCAGACATGCTTGGTCGAGGCGTTACCGCAAGCTTATCGCGCCTGGACCGACCTGGCGTAAGCCGTCGTCCTGTCTGCCAGCGGTAGAGGAGATCGTGTGTATATTTCGTGTAACATTTTTGTGCACGACCCAGCATAATGGCATGGAAGCTCTTGCGTCAGATCGTATCTCGTCCACAGCAAAGTCGCTTGCACGGCAGCCATGAGATCCAGGGTTAGGGTTACGGCGCCGTCCTGTGACGACTGCCGCATACATTGTGGGGAACTAACAAACGTGCCTCATAAAAACAAAGAAGAGATGTAGGGAGGTCGACTTTTGAAAGACGTTACCGTCCTGTTTGTCGCGAAAGCGCTACCCGACGATGTCGATGCTCGTGTGGTTGGTCTACGAGTGGAGTGGTGTGGTCGCTGGCTCTCACAGACTGGCTTTGCACCGAGAAGGAATGTATCATCGTAACCTCGATCGCCGAGCCAGCGACCTTCTGCCAGTGGGATTTCGTGGTTTGAGACTGGGACAATGCATCGGGCCAAGAAGCTAGACTACGTCCCATGCTACAGCGGTACTAGGCGGATCCCTTGACGTAAATCTATGCGAAATAAAATTGTCGGACTTTCTCCGTTGTGTAGGTACTGGTGTTGATCTTGATCTAGGCCGGCGGAGGCACGAGCGCGATCCGCGGGACAAGGTGCTGACTCGGCCACTCGAGTTGAGCGAGGAGCCGGAGAAGGCGACGGAGAGACATCTGCCCGGGCTTTTGAACGAGGCTGTGGTGCAAGTGCATTTGAGCGACACGCGCCGCCTTTCGACTCGGCATCGTTGTGGAAGGGCTCGGGTTCTCTGGCTTGCACGGGATTGGCTACTGGACCACGAGCTGAACCAATCCGATCTCGTCTCCGGATACAAATGTTAGAAGCGGATATGCCCGTTGAAAGGCGCAAGCTTGAGCGACTCGGCAAGCTGCGAAGAGACCAAAATGGCCGACGAAGAACGCACGCCCCAGGCCGCCCGCATGTCGCCACCCGACGCGCTCATGCTTCCGCACGTCATTGAGGCGATTGCTACGTGCTCGATCAACCAAGAAGACTTTGAAAGTTTTCTTCGCGCAGTGCCACGATCGCTTTGGACGCCGGCGCTCGTAGCTTTTCTCGACTGCCACACGGAGAAGCCATCAACGGTCAGTGTCAACTGGCCGCGCATCAAGCTGACCGACGTGGAGTTGTCGCCTTCGGTCTTGACGCTGCTCGCGGCGATGCTACCGCTGCGTCCACGTATGGTACTGCGCCGCACGGACTGGGATGCAGCGTCACTGGCCTCGCTTATCGCCGTCCTCGGACCTGCGCTCAGCGACGTCACGCTGCTTTTTTCGAGCAACCGCACGGTCAATGGCCAAGGCCACGCGATCAGCAACCTCTTCTTGCAGCGTTGCCCACGTCTACGCCGAGTGGTCATCTGCGAAGAGCCCACGACGGCAGCCGAGATTATTGAGCTCAACGATTTGCTTGCAGTCGCTGCCCACCCGCATGTCGAAGATATGACTATCAACCTGCGTCGCGCAACTGCCACACCGCGACTCGGGCATCTCTTGGCCACATGGCTCTTGACAGCGCCGAGCCGGGAACTCCTTCTGGAAAATGCCACGGCCTTGGACCACGATGGTGTCATCGCGTTCTGCGATGCGCTGCAAGCCAACACGACGCTGACCAATTTAAGCATCCGCAACGCAAGTGCCCTCGGCGGCTTCCATGGTCGCACGCTCCCCGTGTCGTTGAAGACCTTGACGTGGAATGTTAGATTCAATCGTGTCATCAATGTCGTCACACTGACAGACCTCGCGACCGCCGTCGGGCCCACGCACCTCGAACAATTCGACTGCAATGTCTTTTGCTGGCTCGCGACTTGCCCGGCCGCGGCGCCAATGCTCGCACAACTGCAGATGCTCACTGTCAGCTCGTTGGATGTCGGCGACATAACATCGTTGCTTGCGGGCTTGTCGTCGGTCCCGGTGCTGATATCTCTCACGCTTCGCAACTGCAACCTCTCGTCGTCGACGAGGCTGCTCATGAAGACGCTTGCGACGACGTGCGTGCATCTCGTGCGGCTCGATGTCTCGGATCACGATTTGACTCGGGACGACGCCTCCGCTGTTATTATTGGAGTCACTCGATTGCTGCAGTTGACATCGCTGACGTTGTCGATGCGTCTGTCAGATGTGCTGCACATACTTCCAGCGCTCATTGCCGCTGGTCGCCACCTCCGCGACCTCACCTTGACGGCCGCGTGGTCGGACGCCGACGACGACGCCGACGACATTCTCAACCTGGGGATGCGCGCGATCTTCCGAGCGCTTGCGCAAGTCCACGACGTTCCATTTGTGGCCGCCACGCTGCCAAAGAACATGGACCAATTCGTGATCGACGCGCTTGGTCCGCGCGCCGATCGCTGTCACCAGTGCGAACTGCACTGGTACTGGTGACGGCGATCGGGCCAGCAATACTCGGTCCTTTTTTTTATTTGTTGGCCCCCGCGCTGCCGCCTGCGCAGCCACGGCCCGGCCAGCGAATGAACAAGAGAGGGATTGCTAGTCTCTGTTTGCATAAGAACGCGAAACACGTTTATACATATATATATTAACTCATTTCAACAACAAGCTCGCATCGCTGCACTAGTACACGAGACACGGTACAGCAGTCGATGGGTTGCAACTCAATGCGCTTCCCACCTCGTCTTCTACTGCGTGTAGCTCTCGACGGTGGCGGCGGTGCCATTGAGCTCGAGTCATTTACGCCAACGATAGTAGGACGTGGCTCTGCCCAAACGATAGTCTCATTCTATCGACAATGACACCAACGATATAGTGTATTGTGCATACGCGACCATCACCGGCTATCGCAGCGCGGCATCGACGTCCCCTGTCATGACGTTCCCCAAATGGAAAATATCAATGTTTCAAATTGTAGCATGCAAGCGCCAACATTCGCCCGAGCAGACCCCGTGCGTCCCGCACAACAGTCATCGACATAGCGTCTCGTCGACAAGCACGGGGCGTCGTCGACTCGCACCGGGGAGATCATGCGCTTGGTCGTCCGCACAGTGCACCGGGAGCTGTTGTTGAAGTGGGTCGTCTATTTAAATTGATACTAGTACGTAAATCTACGCGAAATAAAATTGTCGGACTTTCTTCGTTGTGTAGGTACTGGTGTTGATCTTGATCTAGGCCGGCGGAAGCACGAGCGCGATCCGCGGGACAAGGTGCTGGCGCGGCCACTCGTGCACCGGGAGCTGTGACTTGGAGCGGTGCAACAGGTCGGCTTCTCAAAGTCATTTCGGTATCCGGATTTGAGAGCGGATTGGTGGAAAAGCTTGGCCAATCCAACGCCAGCAACGACTTGGTTTGCGCCCGGCAAAAGAAATTTGGGCAATGGACAATGGTGGGTCCCGAGAATTTGACACTGTAGAAAATCGAAGGCGCCCTTTCTCGAGCAGCACAATCCACCGTGTTGAACCTGAGGTCGCTGTCGACAACACGGTGCCAGTGTTTGTTAGTTGAACCCTCCAACCGAATTTTCGTCAATCAGATTGCGCATCCGGATACGCGTGCAGCCAAGTCAAAATGGGCAACGCGAGACCAAGGCGGGTCGGCCGACGCCGCCACACGCGGTCACGCTTCCGCACGTCATCGAGGCCATTGCTACGATCCTGAGCAGCCACCAGGACCTTGAAAGCTTCCTCGTAGCGGTACCGCGATCGCTCTGGACGCCGGCGCTCACGGCCTTTCTCGACGTCCCGACGGCCATGCCATCCATGGTCAGGGCCGAGTGGCCGCGAATTGTGCTGGCCAGCATGGACTTGCCGCTTTCGGTCCTGGCGCTGCTCGTGGCGACGCTGCCGCTGCGTCCCCACATCGAGATTGAGCGTCGGATCCGAGATGCGGCGCCACTCGCCTCGCTCGTCGCCAACCTTGGCCCGTCGCTGAGCAGCGTCATTCTCGATTTCAACAGCGACAGCTTGGTCGATGGCCAAGGCCGAGCGATCAGCGACCTCTTCTTGCAGCGCTGCCCGCGTCTGCGCCGAGTGACCATCCGCGCCTTGTCTATTTTAGAGAACAAACTGATTGAGCTCAACAATCTGCTTGCAGTCGTCGCCCACCCGTTTGTCCAAGAGTTATTCATCGACCTGCAGTACGTGACTGCCACGCCGCGACTCGGGCATCTGTTGGCTTCTTGGCTCTCGACGGCGCCGGCGACGAAGCTCAGAGTGATCAACGTCGCCCAGATGGACCACGATGGGGCCATCGCATTGTGCGATGCACTGCAAGCCAACTCGACCCTTCGAAAGCTCTCGATCGACGACGTCCCCAATCTCGGTGGCTTTCACGGTCGTATGCTCCCAGCTACGTTAAAGTGGCTCAAGTACAATGCGTTCTTCAACAGAGTCGTCGATGACGCAACAGTGACGGACCTTGCGACAGCTATCGGCCATACGCATCTCAACCATCTCGAATGTAATGTCTTTGGCCAGCTGGCGACATGTCCGGCCGCGGCGCCGATGCTATCGCGACTGCGGTCCCTCTGCGTTAACCAAGTAGCTGACGACGCGATGCAGAGAGCGATCGCGGGCTTGTCGTCGGTCCCGGCGCTCTCATCTCTCGACATTTGAATAAGCGACTTGACCTTGGTGCGCCCTCCAGCACCTCTCATGGCGTCGCTGGCGACGGCGTGCGCTCATCTCACGACATTGCGCATCGACGCAAACGACGACTTGACCAGTGAGAGCCTCGCGATCGTTCTTTCTGGCGTGCTGCAACTGCCGCAGTTGACGACGCTAACGGTGCCGGTACGCCTCTCCGACGTCGAGCGCGTGCTGCCCGAGCTTGTTGCCGCGGGTCGCCAACTCAAATGTCTCTACTTGGAAACATCGTCCGAGTTGAATTACGCCGACGACGTTACGAGCCAGCGCTCGATTTTGCGGACGCTGGCGCGCATGCCAAATGTCCCGTTTGTCGTCCACGAGCTCCCAGATGACATCGACGCCTTCGTGGTCGACGCGCTTAGTCCGCACGCTGATCACGACCAGTTGTGCGACTTGGCTATGTTTTAAACACCAACTTACTACGAACAGGAGCAACGTGAAAACTCATATGTTATCCTCGTATCAAGTACTGTAGACTTAGGTGGTAACCAGCCCCGATCAAACGATCTGCTTTTGCAGAGTCGGCCGCAAGATCGCGTTTGCTTGCGTTGGATTGGCTGTTGAGTACGAACTTTCTGCCAATCCGATCGCGTATCCGGATATAAAATTTAGAAGCGCACAACCAAGATGGCTGCCGGAATTACTATGATTCTGTCCACTCGGCTTTGATTAGTTGGACCATTTTGGTCAATCAAATGGCTTGGGAACCAAGTGATAATATTGGGTTCCAAGTGATAATATTGGCAAAAAGTCAGCGACCAATTGATAATATATCGCCAAAATCGGGACCAAAGAAAAAAATACTCTGGCAAGCACCATCGATATGTATGACCCATGCAAGCACAAACCGAAATGCCCGACAACAAGCAAAAGGCCACCCGTGCGACGCCGCTAGACGCACTCGCTCTTCCGCATGTCGTCGAGGCCATCGCCACGAGCTGTGGCAACCACCAGGACCTTGAGAGCTTCCTCGTAGCGGTGCCTCCATCTCTCTGGACGCCGGCGCTCACGGCATTTCTCGACTGCAAGACGGTCATGCCATCCTCGGTCCGCGCCAACTGGCCGCACATTGAGCTGCACGACATAGACTTGCCGCCTTCAGTCTTGGCGCGGCTTGCGGCGACGCTGCCGCTGCATCCGCGCATGGAGCTATTGTACCCGGTCGGCGACGCAGCGCCACTGGCCCGGCTCATCGACGTCCTTGGACCTGCGCTCAGTGGGGTCGAGCTTTGTATTTTGAGCGACCGCACGATCGATGGCCGAGGCAAAGCCATCAGCAACCTTCTCTTGCAGCGCTGCCCGCGTCTGCGCCACGTGTCGATCTTCGTGGGATCCAGCCCGACGACCGACATGATTGAGCTCAACGACCTGCTTGCAGTCGTCGCCCACCCGCATGTCCACGACTTGTATATCAACCTGCAGCGGGCAACCGGTGCGCCGCGACTGGGCCATCACTTGGCTTCTTGGCTCTCGACGGCGCCGGCGACGAAGCTCAACATGTCCAATGTCTCGGCAATGGACGCCGATGGCGTAATTGCGTTCTGCAATGCGCTACAAACCAACTCAACCCTTCAAGAGCTTGTAGTCAGCAACGTCCCGAGTCTCGGCGGCTTCCACGGTCGCACGCTTCCAGTGTCCTTGGAGACCTTGACATGGGGTGTGTGCTACAGAGTTGTCGACCAAACAGTGACCGACCTCGCGACCGCCGTCGGGCCCACGCGCCTCAAGCGCCTCGACTGCAGCGTCTTTGGTCGGCTGGCAAAATACCGGGCCGCGGCGCCAATGCTTGAACGACTCCAGTGCCTCATGGTCTCCGAGTTGAACGCTGACGAAATGGGGGCTTTGATAGCGGGCTTACCGGCGGCCCCAGCGCTAACGACTCTCTCGCTCCACGATTGCATCCTCTCTTTGTCGGCCGAGCTGCTCATGGAGACGCTCGCGACGAAGTGTGTACGTCTCGGGGCGCTGGTTGTCATCGATAGGCATTTGACGTCCAATGGGTTTACAGCCGTGCTGTCTGGCGTGGTGCGACTACCATACTTGACGTCGCTGATCCTACCCATGCGTCTTTCCGATGTGTTGAACCTGTTTCCTGCGCTCGCTGCCGCGGGTCGCCACCTCCACTACCTCGACTTGAGCATCTTGCGACGACCCGAGGGCGACTTGGAGAGGCGCGCGATCTACCAGGCGCTGACGCAAGCCCACGATGTCCCCTTTGTGCTTCAGAGTATGCCAAAGGACATGGACAACTTTGTTGCCGACGCGCTCAGTCCATGCGCCGATCGTTGTCACCAGTGCGACTTGATTCTCTAAGCAAATGCATTAAGTTTAGCCAATGTGTTTCTAGTTTTGTGCAAGTGATGACTTTGTGAAAAACCATCATGTCGCGCCAATCCCAATGGCAAAATATCAAGAATCGACAACACGTATGGGGCTCGAACCTTGCTGGTCTGAGTTTTCTTAAGCGAGTGTCCTCGCGGCGTCGAGCGGTGATCGTGTTAGCCCACGATATGACACTCACACATGCGACGTCCTTCCGTCGACTAGTATAGCCCAAGCACACTGTACTACGTAGTAATATTCAATATAGCCACTTGTATTGTGCAAGCGTTCATGATGGTGTCGCCATCCGACTCCGTACCGCTATCGTCGAGCGGCACCGACCTTTCAAAAAACGAAAGTTTGCCATGCTGCCACGTAGCCAACGCGGAAAAGTATCAATGTGTCAACATGAACATGCGCGCCAACTGTCGCCATGGTCGGTGTGCGGACCCAGCGCGCTCCACTCCAAGTTATCGACATCGTCTCGCAGCTCCTTCTCGACAACACACGGGACGTCGTTGACTCGCGCCGGGTCGATCGCGCGCTTGACCTTCTTGTCGGCACAATGCACCGGAGGCCGTGACCCGGAGCGGTGCGCCGTTGTCGCTGTGCGCCATCAATTCGAAAGGTTGAAAGAATCGGACCAGTATCCGGATTTGAGCGTGGATTGGTGGAAAAGCTAGGTCCAGAGCAGGTGGGTCCAATCCAACGCCAGCAATACAGCTTTCGCCTCGTAACTTACCAGGCGAAAGCTACTCGGGACCCATAGAAGGTCGAGTTTGCCCTTGCTCATGCAGCGCATCTATGGTGTTGAACCCGAGATCGCTGTCGACAAGACGGTGCCAGCGTTTGTAGATGGCTGAATTGATCGCTCCAACCGAATTTCCGCCAATCCGATAGCGCATCCGGATCCAGACACGCCAAAATGAGCAACTCCGAACACCAGGCCACGGCGGGTCGGCCGACGCCGCCACACGCGCTCGCCCTTCCGCACGTCGTCGAGGCCATCGCCACGAGCTTGAGTAACTATACTGACTTTGAGAACTTCGTGCACGTGGTGCCTCCATCTCTCTGGACGCCGGCGCTCGCGGCCTTTCTCGAGTGCATCACGGTCATGCCATCTTCGGTCATTACTTATTGGCCGTACATTCTGCTGCAACAAAAGAGGTTGCCACCTTCGGTCATGGCGCTGCTCGCAGCGACGCTGCCGCTACAGCCCCGCATCCATATTGAGTGGCCGATCCTCGACGCAGCATCACTGGTCTCGCTCGTCGCCGTCCTTGGCCCGTCGCTCAGCTATGTCACTCTCCATTTTGGTAGCACCAGTGTGGCGGATGGCCAAGCCCAAGCAATCAACGAGCTCCTCTTGCAGCGCTGCCCGCGTCTGCGCTACGTCGCCATGCACGTTGTTCCCCGCATGGCGAACGCGCTTGGCGAGCTCAACGATGCGCTCGCTGTCATCGCCCACCCGCATGTCCGCGACTCGTACCTCAACCTCGAGTTTGCGATCGCGACACCGCGACTCGGCCATCTCTTGGCTTCTTGGCTCTAAACCTCGATCTGGTCAATGCCACGGCCATGGACGCCGACGATTGCGTTCTGCGATGCGCTGCAAGCCAACACGACGCTGACAAAGCTCGTCATCCACAACGTTTCCAGCCTCGGTGGCTTCCTTGGCCGCACGCTCCCAGTGTCGTTGAAGACCTTGAACTGGAACGTGGCCTTTCACCGAGTCGTCGACAACGCCACGCTGGAAGAGCTTGCGACCGCCGTCGCCCACACGCAGCTCGAGCGCCTCGACTGCAGCGTCGTGAGCCAGCTCGCGACGTGCCCAGGCGCGGCGCCGATGCTCGCACAACTGCAGTCGCTCAGCGTAGACGGAAGCTGCTCATGCAGACGCTTGCGACGACGTGCCCACATCTCGAGAGTCTCCATGTCGACGATCATTATCTGACGCGCGACGGGGCCACCGCTGCTCTCACTGGCGTCTTGGGATTACCCCACATGACGACACTCACCCTCTCGATGTGTCTGCTGGATGTGATGCTCGTACTCGCGGAGCTCGTTGCTGCGGGCCGCCACCTCCGCCTCCTCGCCTTGACGACCCTCGGACGGCCCAACGACGAAGCGGAAAAGCGCGCGACCTGTCGGGCACTAGCACGCGTCCACGACGTCCCATTTGTGCTCGAGACGCTGCCAGCAACGATGGGCAAATTCGTGATCGACGCGCTGACTCCACGCGCCGACCGTCACCAGTGTGGATTGCGTCTCTAAACACTACGGATGCTAACTAGTACATGTAGTACAATCTCCTATCGTTGATGGACCTAGCGCTGGTTCCGTCTTGCGTGCACCTTGAGACGCTTGCAAATGGCGATTGGAGTGGACACTGCGCGAGGTCGTCGCCATCCTCTCTCACGCGCTACCAGTATCAAGGACTCCATAGCGCTGGCACGACAAGCACCAAGACGGGCCTGGCGGCTTTCCGCCTCTCAAAGTGCCCATGTTTGTTGACGATGGCTCCTACGGGCTTGGGTCGATGGAACGTTCCATGAGATGACAGAGCGCTTCTGGGTACCACGATGACTGAGAAACATTGGGAGCAGCTCGTCGATGCCTTCTACACCGAGTACAGTGGCGTGTTGAACCGCCGCAAGGCCATCAGCGCAAGGCAACAGCGAGCGCTTCACGGGGTTCCTCATGCTGATCGCATTGTGTGCGCGTGGGCAACAAGCAATTTCAGAGTGAGTCATGACAACACTTGAATAGTGGCTCCCACAATTGTTTGCATTACTAGAATCTACGGCGACATGAGGACGACCGGGAACAATCACTGCAACGTGGACGATGTTGTCTATTACATCGAACGTGCCTATCGCAATTGGGCCACAAGGTTCAAGACAACCTGGAGGTTGTACATCTTCTTCATAGGCGGCTCGTAGTCGTAGGTGTAGTACCCATCGGGGGCGAGACGTACTGGCAGCGTATGCAGTTCGTGGTGCTTGAGCTTGTACTTGCGAAGGGCCTCCATGTGCCCAATCTCCTTGAACACTGGCATTTCCATGCACGTCATGCAGAGCTTTTTGCCATAGTGTTCGTTGCGGTCGTCGATCGTGTACAGGCCACGGACTACAAAACGGCCGCAGTGGTGGCACGTTTTCTTCTCGACATGGCCGACGACCATCTTGCGGAGCTGCGTGCGCGGCTTGAGTACCTTTGGCTTGACGCCGCATTGCTCCAGCAAGACGTAGCGCCACACCGACTTGTCCATGGCCGCGTCGAGCGCCGGGCTGGCACTCGAGAGGTTGAGCGCGTCGTTCGGCTGCAGGAACGAGACGATGCTGAGGAGCGCGTCGGTGCCGAGTGTCTCGAGGGTCGTCGGCTCTGACTTGGATCGCTTGGCAGCTCCGAGCGCCATCGTGTTTACTGGGACCTCGGTGCTAGTGCGCTTGCAGCCGGTCATTGTACTAGTAATAATTGGAAAATGAGAATTCCCAAGACTCTTTCTAAGCGACCTTCATTCACAGCTGGTTAGAGTGGGATGTTGTGACGAAATGACTGTCACTCGGCGTTTGCAGTTTTTGGACCATATGTATCGAGTAAGGTTGGAAATGCGTGCAATACCTGAGGTCAGTTGGCGCGATATCGTTTTGGTCCATCCATTGAAAGCTTCAGAATTGCGTTCTCCCATCGCAAAAGTACTGGTGCCGATCAGGAGCTGGGTCTGGGTTGGGAGCATTTTGGGATCTGGGGCACTTGTTTTGCGTCGTTTTCACCAGATTTTCGGTGCCGACCGTAATCCCAGATGACGTTGGAAACCCGTTTACGTATAGCAACCCTGGTATGAGAATGTTGCTAACTGGCGGCTGACAAGTTGTCGACACGAGACTTTCGGGGATTGAGCTTGAGTACGTTCAGGCATTGCTCTTGCGGTTCTATCGTTGAAGCACCACATCACACTGGGGCATCAAATACTCTTGTAACGTTAGAATGCTTTGCTTCAAATCGTATTACTCCTGACTACACTAACGATACCAGTTGTACCGCACTTCACGTCCACGCTCAAGTCAGGCCAGCTGTCGCCAAGCCCGAGATGTTACGCTACATCTGCATTGAGTGCAGGTCATTCTTACCATGGCACTCCATACATCGTCATTTTCCAATTGCAACGGCCACGCGCACTGCCAACACGGTGGCGCTTCGACCCATCAAGCGCGCCAAGACAGAACCGACGCCCATCGAAGCGCTCGGGTCCCACGTGCTCCTGAGCCTTGTCCCGTTCCTGCAGCCAAATGATGTGCTCAACCTCTCCAGCGCCAGCCCTGCGCTCGACGCAGCCATGAACAGGTCGGTATGGCGCTATGTTCTCATCAAGCAGTGTGGCGTCAAGCCAAAAATGATCAAGCCGCGATCGCAGCTCCGCAAGATGGTCGTCGGTCTTGTCGAGAAGAAAACGTGCAGCCATTGCGGCCACTTTGAGGTCCGTGGCCCCTTCACAGCTGGCAATCCGCACGACGGCGCGAAGCTCTGCCTGACATGCATCGAGATACCAATGTTCAACGAGATTGGACACATGGAAGCTCTTCGCAAGTACAAGCTCAAGCACCACGAGCTGCATACGCTGCCAGTGCGTCTCGTCGCCTCTGCGTACGAAACTCGCGAACCGGATCTCTACACCTATGACGACGTGGGCGAACCACGCATGAAGAAGATGTACAATCTACAGGATGTGCTGGATCTCGTAACGAAAATGAGAAACTAGTGGTGCTTCGTGTACCTCAAAACGCTTCGCATCAGCGACTTTGCTCTGACTTGCGATGAGGCCGCCAACGTCGTTTCTGGCGTACCGCAGTTGTCATCGCTGACGGTGTCGTTGCGCCCCTCCGATGCGTTCAACGTGCTGCCAGCCTTGTAGCCGCGGGCCGTCACCTCGGCGACCTCTACCTGCAGTTAGCCACGGGAGACCAAGCACCCGTGCAAGACGATACAATGGAAGTCAAACGCGTTATCTGTCGGTCGTTATCGCTGGTCCATAACGTCTCGTTGGTCATGGACACTTGTGCTTGGGGTAAAAATTCAACAACACCGCATTCGATCAATCAGCATTCGATTGACCACTTACAAACGCTAAACCTAAACCCGCTCGGTGAGGCGTTGCAACTTGACCTTCATCTTGTACTCCAAGTTGTCATAAAGATGAGAACATACGCGCTGGATCGCGGATCCCAGTCGTGACTGTTTGTCTAGCGGTACCGGACGATGCGGATGCATATATGGCCGAGGCTCTAAGTCTGCGAGAGGATCTTGCCCGCCGATGACGCTTGCAACTTTCACGATACAATGCAATGTATTATTTGCTGTATGGAGGGCCCTAGATCGTGAATTCACTTTGGAACCTTTAACGCGCTTGGAACAGTCGACGCATCACAAGCTGCCTCGTGGGCCATGGTGCGCGTCAGGCTCAATTAAATTTTAACATGTACAGCGAAATTTTAGTGTTGTGTGTAGTGAGTCTTGCCAACTCATGAATCGATTGTCATATTGCACTCCCAAGATTGCTTACATAACAGATAGTATCTGCGGCGATATGATGACGTTCCGAAACAATCACTACAACGTCGACGTTATTGTCTATTACATGCATGCCAACGAACGTGACTATCGCACTTGTGCCACAAGGTCCAAGACAACCTGGAGGTTGTACATCTTCTTCATGCGCGGCTCGCCTTCGTCGTCATAATACGCAGAGGCGACGAGACGCACTGGCAGCGTATGCAGTTCGTGGTGCTTGAGCTTGTACTTGCGAAGGGCCTCCATGTGCCCAATCTCCTTGAACACTGGCATTTCCATACACGTCATGCAGAGCTTGGTGCCGCAGTGCTCGCTGTGCACCTTGATCGTGTACAGGCCGCGGACTTCAAAATGGCCACAGTGGTGGCACGTTTTCTTCTCGACGTGGCCGACGACCATCTTGCGGAGCTGCGTGCGCGGCTTGAGCAGCGTTGGCTTGACACCGCACTGCTCCAGCAAGACGTAGCGCCACACCGACTTGTCCATGGCCGCGTCCAGCGCCGGGCTGGCGCTCGAGAGGTTGAGTGCATCGTTGGGCTGCAGGAACGAGATGATGCTGAGGAGCGCGTCGGGGCCGAATGTCGCGAGGCTCGTCGGCTCTGTCTTGGTGCGCTTCGTAGGTCGGAGCGCCATCGTGTTGGTTCGGGTGGAGGTACGCTTGATGCCGGTCATTGCAATTTGAAAATGAACATCTGAAGCAATCACACGAGGAACCATCATTCACAGCTCGTTAGAGTGGGATGATGGGACGAATGGACCATCACTCGTTGTTGCGTTTGCACTTTCTGAATCGAGGAGGTTTGTGTGCAACACCTGAGGTCCGTCGGGGCGATTGCGTTTTGGCCAATCCATGGAAAGTATCCCAACGATGGTGCTCTCCCATCACAAAAGCGCTGGTGCTGGTCTGGGGCTGGGTCTGGAGTAGTTTGAGATCTGGAATTGAGTACGTATTGAAGCTCTCTTTGCTCGTTTGTGTTTGGATCTGGACTTTTGCGACCACTAATAACATAACATAGAACCAGAGCAAACGAGCCTCGTCGTTGCTGGTCCTAGTGCGCGTGACGGTGTCGCGTCAGTGAACGTATCAGTGGGCGACACCAGCAGACGCTCGATGCAGCTGTCGACGCACGTCTCGATGCACAGGGTCCTTTTCAGAGAAAGAGCATTTGAAAAAAGTTTTTCTAGATTCCAATGCGTCCTACCGACGTAGTATCAAGGTCTGTGTCGAAACAAAATGTGGCTTACCAACTACAGGTGCAAATCGAAAAACGAAAATGGAGCTCCAACCCCATCACCAAGACGCCCAAAATGCTCACAGGCCAGCCGTCAGATAGTGTCATCATGTCGGCGTTTTCCAGACGGTGGAGAGCGATGTACTGGAGCTGCGACACTATTAGGCATCGATTGGCCCAACTGATACCGCGGCACACAGTTGAGAACCTACTGTAGACCAAAAATTCAAGCGCGAGACGACGAAGAAACCCATTTGTCCCAACATCCCACTCTACTATCCCACTCTAGCAACAATGTGTGCGGGTTTTCCTTCGTCAAATTGCATTGGGATGGTCATTTTCCATTGGCAATGGCCACGCGCACTGCCAACACGATGGCGCTTCGACGCGTCAAGCGCGCCAAGACTGAACCGACGACTATCGAAGCGCTCGGGTCCCGCGTGCTCCTGAGCCTTGTCCCGTTCCTGCAGCCAAACGATGCACTCAACCTCTCGAACGCCAGCCCTGCGCTCGACGCGGCCATGGACAAATCGGTGTGGCGCTACGTCTTGCTGGAGCAGTGCGGCGTCAAGCCAACGGTGCTCAAACCGCGATCGCAGCTCCGCAAGATGGTCGTCGGACTCGTCGAGAAGAAAACGTGCAGCCACTGCGGCCGTTTTGACGTCCGCGGTCCCTTTACGATCAAGGCCGAGAATGAGCACCACGGCGTGAAGCTCTGCTTGACGTGCGTGGAGATACCATTTTTCAATGAAATCGGACACATGGAAGCCCTTCGCAGGTACAAGCTCAAACACCACGAGCTGCACGCACTGCCAGTCCGTGTCGCCGCCTCGGGGTACTACGATTACGAAGCGGGCGAGCCACGCATGAAGAAGATGTACAATCTCCAGGATGTGCTGGACCTTGTAACACGATTGCGCAACTAGTTGTTCAAATGCGCAAGGTAATTCTGTCGTGCTCCATTTTGTTTATAACGTTAGTGTACTGGTAGCTACGTGTGGGTTTGCCCACGACAACAGGCGAACACTCGAGGTAGTGACGATTGAGGCGAGGCTCTCTTGTTGCTGGCGATGCGTTGTTCACTACTACATGTACATCCCAATTGAAGTGGACAGTGCCGATTTGATGCATTGGCGTCACTGCATTGCATTATTATTGGCTCAAAATCAAACATTGACATCGGTGATTGGACAAGAATGTGTTGATTGTAGGTTGGCCAACGGTCTTGCGAACCCGTGCGACTATGGCTTCGAGCTCTGGCAAATGGCAAGTCGAAACCAAATCTATCATGTACATTTTCCTCAAAGGACTTGACGCAAGAGGCTGCGCAGCGTGGTTCCTGTTAATATTTCTTTCATCACGTCGTTCAGGGAGGAATTGGGCTCGAGTCATGCGTCCCAGAATTCCCCATCAAGTTCCTTTGTGATTCTTCAACGCAGACGTGAGCTGATGATGCGTGATGATCCTTCCCATCTCCGCCGACCACGAATGAACGAATGATGGTGTTTCTTGTGGCGTTTTCCTTTTGCTTCATTTTGCGATTGCTCTATGGCCGGTCACAAGCGCACCTCCGCCGCAAACAGCGCGCCAACGCCTCGATCCGTGAAGCGCGCCAAGACCGAGACCGTGATCGAGACGTTTGGCCCAGATATGCTACGGAACATTCTCTCTTTTCTGCAGCCAAAGGACGCCCTCAACCTCTCGAGCGCCAGCGCGGCGCTGGATGCCGCTATGGACAAGTCGGTGTGGTGCTACGTCTTGCTAGAGCAGTGCGGTGTCGAGCCAACGCTGCTCAAGCCGCGCACGCAGCTTCGCAAGAAGGTTCTCGGTCTTATCGAGAAGAAATCGTGCCGCCACTGCGGCTATTTTGGAAGAACGAAGCCGAGTCTCTACAGGATCAAGGTCTTCAGCGAGCACCACGGCAAGCAACTGTGCGGAAGGTGCGTCCAACTGCCCATGTACCAAGAGATTGGGCGCTTGGCCGCGTGCCAAAGATACAAACTCAAGTTCCGGCAGCTCGAGACGCTGCCCGTCCGTCATGTCTCGACTGGGAAGATGCACAACTTTCAGGATGTGCTGGACCTAGTGGCGCGTGTGCGCCCGCTAGCCCCCCTTTTATAACTTGTTACGAGCGTAATCAGGTTGCTACAACAACAAAATATTAGCCGACATGCAGTGAGTTAGAGGAAGCGAATCTTGATCACGTTGTGGAGACGGTGTCGTTGCGCTACAACTGGAGCTGCGAGCGTTCAGTACATTGCGCTAGACCCTCTTCAACACTCTGTCAACAACCATACAACAGCATGAATTCTGTTGACTACAATGTATTAAAAAAAACACGTCCGGAACGGCGGTAGTCGACGGCTCGCCGCGACCAGCGTCGCTATCTCCAGCGAAGTGGACAGCAAATTCGTCGCACGCACGACGATGGGTGCCGGCATCTCGAGCGCGGCGAGCGCCGACAAGAGCGCGCGGGCTCCCTTGGCCGCCAGCGGGTTATTCGATAGATCGAGGAGTCTCAGACGCGGTGGCCAGGCGTCAACCAGCGCAACGACGCCCGACGATCCACGCATGTGATTGCTCGCCAAGCGAAGCCTATCGAGCGATGGAAGATGTGTCAAGGCGACGGCGAGCGCTCGTGCACCGTCGTTGCCAATGCCTTGGCCGTCAAGACAGAGGTCGCGAAGAAAGCGCGGGCGCGAAGCCGCCATCGCTGCAGCCAGTGCGATCATCCCGTCATCACCGAGCATGGCGTCCGTCGACATTGTCAATGTATGCAGACACGCAAGCTGCGGCGGTTTCAAGCGCGAAACCGACGACGCTGGTAATGCCACGTCATAGACGGTACAGTCGTACTGCAAAAGGCCATTGACCGTATTTGCGTGCATCGTCGGGACCAGCGTCGCCACCACGTCGTCAGTGGTACATGTATTGTCGAGCGACGCCAGGACAAGACGCGTCTCGGTGGCTCGCATCGGCGTCATTTGCAACTGGAACGCGTAGCTACCTTGAACGCGCGCGCTTGCATCAACGTCCATAGTCACCGAGAGACGCGGCGAGGACGCTCGAAGCATGGTCGCCAAATGCATTCCGGCGTCGGGCACATCCCACACCACGTGCCGGAGCGAGAGCTCGGTGAGCGAGTGCGCCGTATGCAGCCACGCAGCGAGTGCCGCCAATGACGCTGTCGTCCACACGGCCGTGCCTTGCAACGTCAGTTGCACGCGGCGCAGCGACGGCATTTGCAGCGACGTCAGCACTATATCGGCTTTTGGAATCGTCGCCGACCACGTCAAGTCGAGATCCCGAAGCGACGTCAACGTGGGCAGGACCGCGACGAGGTGCGACACATCGGCAGTGGTCCAGGACCGGGTCGTTGCCTCAAAGGCCTTGTGGTCATGTACGTGGAGCGCGAGGGACGTGATGCGGGGGCCCCACTGCGCCGTCGCAAAGGCAAACTCGGCCGGGCTCGTGAGCCCACGCAGTCGGACACGCGTCGCTGGTCGTGCCACAAAGGTGCTGTCAAAGACAAAGTCCACATCGAGGCTCGGGTACAGCGCGATTGCAAAATGCACGTGCTGCAAGATGCGAGCGTCCCGGAGCTTGTCGCGCGGAAGGCGCAGGTGCGGCCATAGATGGCACAATGGCATCAGCGCCACGAGCTCGAGAAGATGCTGCAGCGAAGCCGTGAGGTAGGCCGACGGCCAGGCGCGGAGGTACGCGACGAGGTCCGCGGCGGACGGAATCGCGCACGCAATCAGCTCGATGAGCGCAGCTTCGGTCACGGCCGCCATCAAGATCTGGGCGGTGCAAAAACCGAGCGTGCTAAGTACCTGGTACAAACCCGCCCAACTTCAAGTCCATCCGGACAAAATTATCCGGATGGGTAATTCGAGACTCAGTGGCGCCAGTGCGGATACCACGTCGTACCGTGCATGATGGGGGGCACGTCGCTCTTGCCGAGACGCGCTGCGTCACTGAAGACGTTCAGCGATACGATACAGTCGAGGCCCCAGTCCCAGCGCATAGGCAACGACAATTACTGCGTGCGCTGCGAAACGGTGACTCGTCAACGAGTATTGAAGAACCGAGTATCCTTCTCGCAGCTCTTTCCCACAAGATCATTCCTCCTGCAGAATGCGCGTGTGGCGGTGGACCAGCCGTGGCCACGTCGCTGCGGCGTCCTCGACTTGTTCCCGAGAAGTAAAGACTCTTTAGCTTCACCGTGGCGAGTCCTCTACTTGTTGTCGTGTTGGGCGCCAGTATCGCTGGCGTTCTTGGGTAGTACTCAGTAGAAGGATACATCGACGAGTTGGAGTGGAAAGCAAGGTTGCAAAATTGAGCTAAAAAGCTTTCCAAAGCGCT